CCCCACCCACACCCACACCCACACACCCACCCACACCCACCCACACCCACACCCACACCCACACCCCACACTCACCCACACCCGAAGAATAGCATAATTAAAATAATTTATGTGTTTCTTAAAGACCATTGAAAAATTTTTGATTTGGAACAAATGAAAGAAAAATCTTCATATTACTTTGATAATCTATCTTCATCAATAATTCAAAAAGTATAGATTTTAAAATTAAATTATTCATATTTGTATTGTTAATATTCAGAAAATAGAATATAAATTATAGTTTTATTTCTATATTTCAGCTACATTAATTAATGAAAATACAAATTTACGTAAGAAAAAAATCTCAATGTTCGACAAGGAAGTAGATGAAAATCTTAATGAAAGTCAATAAACCATTATTAATGCTGATTCATTAGCACGAGAAAATAATGTAAGATATTCGAAATATCCTATTTTATTCAAAAATTGTTTTGTTTAGAATGAAAAATTAGGAACAATAAGACAAAATTCAAATGATTCTGACATCAAATTAGAATCATCTGTTGATAATTATCAATAATTAACAACTTTAGATAGATCAAAACGAAATCAAATGGAAAAATCAGCTACTTGGTTGGTGGAGTAGATATTATGCATCAAAAGCAAAACTTGTATATTCAGATTTTTATGCTTCTCAAATCTTTATAAATTCTCGTTTTCATTTTCATAGAGATTAGAAAAAAAAATCAAAGCCGCTTTAGATGAAGGACTTCAACTTAATTATAATGTTTATGCTGATTTTTTTGAAGATGAATCAAGTTAGTCGAATTTTTTTGTTTTTATCGATAAAATATGTATTCTTCTTCTTTTAGAAGCTCTTGCTAAACAACGTTGGACATTCTTAAATAAAGCTAAGAAAGCTTTTATGGGTCTTGGAAAATTTCGTAAAAAAATCGAACGTTTCGCTGTTCATGAATTTGGAGCTCATTTTAGAGTAATTTATTTATTTTTTGTTTTGTTTAACATTGAATTTTCTCAATTCTATTTTTAGTTTAAATCAGTTTTATTGATGAAAGTTTAGATATTATTGAAACTGATCGTCTTAAAGAATTAACATTATTACAAACATTAGATGTAAGAAACAATAAATAAATAAAAAGAGAGAGTATTTAAAAATTATTTCAGATATAATACGAATAAATTCTTAGATAGTTTTCGTGAGATGAAGACTGAGATTGGTAGATAAGAAAATAACGAGACTGGAACTAAAAGAAAAACTTGCATCCAAAACATCTTCAGTTTTATATTCGGTATTATGTTCATCATTGTTTATGTTATAATTTTTGTTAATAATATATTTTCATGATATAATTTCTATTTCTATTGAATAGATAATTGAAACTGAATTAGAAAATATTTCTGATTATGAAGGATTTAATGAGTGTCTTGATAAATTTCCTTTGTAAGTTTTATTAAAATAAAAAAGAAAATATATTTTTTAATTAAATCTAAATTAATTTAGATATAAAGGAAAAGGTACAAATCGTTCAGATGAAAAAGGAGATGAAAATCGTGTTTATGCTAAATTTAAGGTTACGTTAATGTTATTCTTTTTTTTGTTTATTTATTTATTTTTTTTTAGAGAAAAATTCATATTCGTGAAATAACATCATCTGAACGTTCTAAAACTTCAGAGAGTATTAATAGAATGTCTATTAATCCGGTTTTAGTCAATAATCCAATGGAAAGTTCCGATACAAAGCAAAGACTAGCTTCAACTATTTATTTAAATCAAGAAATGCTTCAATTTGATTTGAATCAATATCCAATTACACTTAAATGTCGATTGTGTATTATAAAAGCCTTATTATTTCGTGCTTGGGATGCATCAGATAAGCTGATCCATACATTAAAATATTATTGAATCGAGATCTCATTATTGATGATACTAAAGAAAGACTCTATAATACATTAGAACCAGTTTTTGGAAAGTAAATAATAAATTAATAAAAATTGAAATTATTTAACATAATTTTTTAAATAGATCTTATGAATTTGAAGTTACAATTCCTCAACAATCATTATTACTTATTCAAATTTGGGATTGGGATCTAACAAGTTTAGATGACAGAAAAGCTGAAACAATTATTGATATTGAACAATCGTTCGTTTTCATGTCATAGAGCAACATGTGCTGGTTTACAATAAACGATACGATAGGTCAATTAATCATTTATATTTTTTAACAAACTATCTTGAGGGTGGATGTGGTTGTGTGGATGTGGGGGGGGGGGGGGGGGGGGGGGGGGGGGGGGGGGG